TAAGTCTGCTACTGAACAGCCTTTAGCAGAGTGCTAAGAACAGAGAAGAGGGCTCTTCCTTTTTTTTTTTGCTGATATGTTCCACTCGTTGATTACTTTCTGCTTGATAACACTTAGACATTTACATAGCATCAGCCATCTTTTTCAGTAGAGTGCTTCCTTGTGATCTGAGCTACCAGTGAGAAAAGTCAATTTTGTCAACATGTTTTAGAGATAAGGCAACTAAATCTAAGAAACTTGAAGATATTGTACCAGGAAAGGAGATGTGAATTTTTTTCTATAAAGTAGATTAAGAATTTTTCTGAAAGGGAGACTATTAGAGAAGAAGAATGGGACCAGGGGTAGGGGAGAGGGAAAAATAAGGAAGGGTAATGTGAGAGTGGGTATGATCAAAGCATGTTATATGCATATACGAAAATGCCACAAGAAACACATAATTCTGTATAATTAATATGTACTAACAGAAATAAAAGATCTTTCTGAAGATTCCAGTCTCCTAAATCAAGTTTTCAGAAATAATAGATCTGAGTGGACATTTCCATTTGTAGGAAAACTAGTACTCACTCTCCCATGGATCACCAGGCAAATGCTGAACACCCCTTCACATTGACATGAAGGAAAATACCAATTCAGGACATGAAGGCTTCCCCTGCACTCAAGCTCCTGCTTCTACAGTCTGGGCTTCACAGGTTAAAGGATTTCTCTTGGGATGCTGATTTGTGCTTTTAAAGAATGAACTTATACTTGGAAGTCTTGCTGCAAGATTATATGATGATGTCATTATTTATGTAGTCCCAGCTGAGCCTATAAAATCCAAAAGCTTTACAATCTATATTTACAGTGATAGATTTAGACAGCATTTCCCCCACATCATTTACACACACACACACACACACACACACACACACACTTCTTTAAGTCTCAGACTGCTTTTTGATGTAACTGTGTTTTCTCTATTTTGACATTCTTGGAGCAGCCCTAGTGAAGCTTAAGATTAAAATCACAAGTCTGCAGCTCAGACAGGGAATAAAGTACAAACCCTGAAGGTGATCTCATGTGTTCAGAATTATACTTCAAACAACTTCACTTGAAATGTAGCATTTAGACAAGGAGCTTTCTTTACCCAATCTTAATTAAAACAATGAAAGACATTTTCATCTTTATTATTAACAATGCTAATTAAACCAATACATTTTTATGTTGTTTTCTCTTTTTAATTTGGGCTGTGACTATTTGTAAAAATAAATATCTAATGATAATGGCTTATGATCACAGTCTGTTCACTTTAGAATAAAGGAAACCAGGAACAACATAGTACACATATTAGTTGTATAATCTGTAGCACAAGATGAGTTTATCAACTATTAAAAACGTGAAAAATAATTTCTGCGTTTATTATTTTTAGATTGCAATAGGGTAAGGTCAGGGGCAATAGCAAGTAGTTTAGGGGAGCTTCATTTAGCTCCCCATAAGCATCATCAGCCTCCCAGCATAACTACCAAAAATAAAATGCAATGTAACTGAGACTCTGTATATACATACTATGCAAAAGCAGCTTCAAAACAAGTCCCCAAGCTGCTCCTTCTAATAGACTGCTAACTGAAGATTTTCCCTTGACTGTCTCGAACCATTTGCTTACGTAGGGGCCTATAACTTCACAAAAAAAGTCACTCTGCCTTTTAAGATTAGGTGTCATAGTTTGGATGTAACATGGAGCGGAGGAACCTACACACAGAAAAGGAACATAAACAATCCATTTTTGCACAAGATACTTTTTGCACAAAAGGACTAGATAGTGTCCTGCACTGTGTGATCTTGGTTAAGCTATGTAATTGTCTCGCCTCAATGCTCCCACCTGGAGACTGAGGGACTTAAAAGGGCTGGTCTCAGAAGCCTTTTGCATACTCAGAGCCTAGGATTCCTGGTTTCATCAAATATCTGAATCTGGATTGTTAATCCACACCTACCTCTGATGCTGTGCCTGGGTCCCTTTTTGCCATCTTTAACCATTTTCCTAGAAAAAGTGAGAAACCCTGACAGAACAGGACAAGTACGGAAAAAGAAGCTTAGATACTCCTGAGTGGGGAAGAAGTCCCCTGTTCAGTGGGTGTCCCCCACCTTTTTTTGCCATGTCAAAAAGCAGTCTAGAGTGGAGACAGAATCTGCAGAGTCACAGAGGGGGGAGCTGATGAGTAATAGGGAGAATCCCACTTAGGCTTATCTCAAGCTCCACTTTCTTCCTTTACTCATGCTCACAGTAGAAATAAAGGGTAATGTTTCTCATGGGAAGTCCTTGGCTCTGTTTTGTTTGTTTGTTTCCCCCCACAAAAAGGTTTTCGGGAGAAGAGGAAGGGGCGCAAAGCAAAGATGCAAACAAAGGACTTGGGACTCGATACAAAAGGACTCCCACTTGTGCACAGAAATGCCACTTCTTGACTAGCTGCAGATCAGCTTCCCCTGCAGGTGCTGCAGTTGGGTAGCGTCTGGAAGCGCTGAGGCCGGGGGCTGCGGCCGCCGCGGTCCTCATTGGACGCTAGGTAGGAGCTCCTCAGTGACTTGGCCCACGGGAAAGCAAGCCTCGAGGTCAGCATCCTGCCAGCTCCTATAAGTAGATCTAATTATGACCGCTTACTTCAAAAAGAGGATTTAACCCAAAGCAGATTTAGCAGGGCAGTTTCCAAAGGGCAGCAGGAACCCCAGGCATGACCTTTGAGAAAATCCTAAAAGCTTCGCTGCCCGGGAACTTGGCGAGCCAGTGACCATAAACGCCTCAGAGAATTTCAGAGACGCCAACCTGTTATCAGGGTCCTAGTGGGGGCGTTTAATTTAGAACAAAGTGTCAGAGTGTACCCGTGGCGTGTGTGCTGGAGCTGAGTCGGTATTGAGCTGAGAAAAAAAAAAAAATTGACACCCTAATAAAAAGCACTAAATTAAACTTTAATGTGTTTAGGAAGCTAAATAAGAGACAAAGATCTTTTAGTGACTATTTGCCTAAAACGTGAAAGTTTGGGAACATATTCCAGTGGTACCGATTAAAGTTTCAAAAGCTTATTAAAGTCATTTTTAAAGAAAAGTTTACTTGGACTTGTGCTACTTTCAACATAGCACTTTGCTCGGAAGTGGTTTTGTTGTTCTGATGAAATTGAATAACTCCAAAAAAGGTAAAGGAATTTTTCATCTAAAGTTAACCAACATTAGGTTAGTAAATAAATATTTCTGACATAGATTCATCACATAATAAATATGAAAAGAAATACGGTGAACTATAAAACTATTTTGTGTCATTATTTCGGTTGCTCTCAGAGTGCACACACACAAAGGAAAACAAAACAGAAAGAAAAAGAAACAGCTCCCATAAATATTCACTGCATCCACACACTTCCATTAAACCAACTCTGTGAGTGAACTGGTACCACCTCAGATTTTATCTTAGGTGGGAAACTATGGAAAAGACAAGATGTAGTTTTAAATCAGATAGTTTACAAAGTGATCAAAAATGATTCACACAGATACTCTTTAGCAGTATTTGATTTCAAATGTTTAAAAAAGTCAATATCATACAAGTTCCTACTTAATTTTTTTTTTTAGTTGTAGATGGACACAACACTTTATTTTAATTTTTTTATGTGGTGCTGAGGATGAAACCCAGTGCCTCATGCATGCTAGGTAAGCACTCTACCACTGAGCCACAACCCCAGCCTACTAAAAAGTTCCTACTTTTTTTTACTTGACCACATTCCAACACAGGTTATATAACCAGATGATTATTGTGTATTTAATTAATATTGTCTTTAGAACCTTGTTTGCCATAGCCTGGGGTTGGAAACTTCTCAGACATTGAGGTGGCGAGTTTATTCTCACTGGCTACACAAATATGTCAAATCAGATCATCAATTTGTTCAAACACATAACTACTAAACCTTAGCTTATAAGAGCTTAAGGGAAGCGCAAAAAATCTTAAATTAGGGATATAAAATGTAACACTTCAGCCGTTGTTCTCTTTTAAATTTCACCTTCCCCAAGGGATGTGCCCAATACAACAATAAGTAAATATTACCAATAATTTAAAAAATTTTTAAACACAACATGCTTTGCTTTATTCTTTATTTACTCTTACTGTGGTAGCTTTTTCTGATATGTAAAATATTCTGCAAAAATCAAATCTTTTCCTTCATATCCAAATAAATAATAAAGCTGGAATAGAAAAAGCTATTCCCTAGTGGCTCTAAATTTGCAAGCCCTCTCAACACAGATGCAAGCAGGCTTGTTGTTGATTTCAAAGATGGTGAATGTCACAGACATAACCATTCAGCTGAGGGAAAGAAGAAAGGACTTGATTGCAAAGGTTTTTCAATTTGGAATCTCTGCTTCATGTGTGTCAATTTTTGGTTTGAGAAAACTAAATGCTTACAAGAACAGTCATGGAGACTCAACACACTATTTTTTTTGCTTTGTTTTTACATAAAGTTTTATAAAGTATGCAACCAATAGAAAGTTAAGCAGTTAGTTCTAGTCATTATCTAAATATTAATATTTTCTACGTTGGTAATAAGAATGAATAGGATTAGGTTAAAGCATTTGCCTTCCTGAAAAATGGTGTGGTTTGTTGTTGTTGTTGTTGTTTGTTTGTTTGTTTTTTCAATAGAAGGCAATTTACAGGAAGGTTTTTCAAATAGAAATACTTCATTGATCAAGCTCAAATGTAAGCTCCCTGGGTTTCTTTCTGGCTTTATGGTTTTAAGGGTTTTAGCACCCTTGTGGGAATGTGGCACCCTATTTTCATGCACCTCCAAACATATTCATGTAAACTGTCACACTCTTTACGGTAACAAACCATTCAGAAATTGGAATTTAGAACCTTGTTTGCTATGGCCATAGCTTGAGGTTGGACACCCAGAGACCTATCCATAGTGCCACCACTTGGAAGCCTGACCTCTGATGGGAGGGATGGATAGGGCAGCAGGCCTCCAGATGTGACTGGCAGTATGTGTGCACATTACCTCTCCCGCTCCTGCTCCAGCAAGTTGGTGAAATCGTCGCTTTTGTTCATGTAGTCAGTGTGTTTGTGCTTCTCGTTCTCCAACTCGTACACAGTACGCCTGTGACACTTCTCTGCCAGCAGCAGTTGCTCTAGCATGCGCCGGTAGGTTTCTTTCTGCTTTTCCTCAAGTCTGTCCAGCTGAGTAGGCAAAGGTGGGAAAGATATTTTATTTTACTTGCATATGACTCTAAATAATTGGCTTAAATTGGTCTAGTGATTTATTACCTGAAGGAGAAAACATCAAATGTGGTATTCTCTGCCATTTCCCCCATTCCATCGTTTTCTCTGTGTCAACTGACTACATCAACTAGCCATGATAATGCTGCATTTTAACTTCTGTCCTTCTGGCCCTTTTTCTGTAAATACATGTATGGTCCCTAAACTTGCAGGAGAACGAACTCTTCCACGTTTTTAATGAGATAGCCAAAATCCTGTACTTGAAAAAAAAAAAAAAAAAAAGGGGGAAACCCCCCCCCTCTTATCTCAAAAAAAAAAAAAAAAAAAAAATTAACATCTCAGCATGTACATGTGCCAAACTTCTCCTTTGGGAAGTAATTATCATTGTCGCAATCTTATTTTAAGGCTTGCAGCTATATGCATTTCTAGGAAAAGTATATTAAGGATCAAAGTCTTCTTATTTTAAGAGACACTAAATATAAGGAGGATTTTAGAACTTGTAGAGAGTATGTATCTCTAAAATCATTTTTTTTCACAATTCAAAAACTTTATTTACTAAAAAGAATATTTGAATATATCATTTTCATTATGTATCATTTAATTATTTAAGGTTTCACATTACAGAGAATATTAATAATGATTTTTCTCATATTAATAATGATTTTTGTGATTATCATTTTAAGATTAGATCAAAATAAAAGCAGTCTTAAATATTATCAATTTTTTTTCCCTTTTTCTCTGAACAGAGTGTAAGATCTTTAAAGAATCATGCCTTGATCATCTTTTTAGTCTCTAGAGCTTAGCACAGTGTCTAGAACAAATTAGGTGTTCAGTAAATGTTTGTTAAATCTTACAATATTGATAGTTTCCTGTTGTACTCACTCTCTGCCCCATCTGTTTTTGTTTGGTATTGGAATTAAACCCAGAGGCTCTTTACCACTGAGTTAAATCCCCGGTCCTTTTTTTTTTTATAATTTTTTATATAGAGACAGTTGGCCTCAAACTTTGATCTTCCTGCCTGAGCCTCCTGAGTCTGGAATTACAGGGATGTGTCACCGTGCCAAGCTTGCTCTCTCTTAAACTCTATATAGATCAGGATTTCTCAAGTTTGGCACTGCTGAAGCTAGGTCATTTATTGTGGGGTTGTGCACTGGAGGATGTTTAATAGTATCGTCACCATGTGATGCCCTGTGTATTAGAGGATGTTTAGCAGCACACCTTTGGCCTATCTACTAGATGCTAGTAGCACCATCTCCAGCTGTGATGATCAAACTATCCTGACATTGTCAACTGTCTCCTGGAAGGAGAAATCCACCAGCTTACTGCATCCCAGTTAAAACAAATGATCTAGTTTAAATCCATTCTCAGTCTCAAAATTGACTTCCTAAAACCCACTATCTCACAGGTTATCAACACCAGAGCCTTCTTTCTTAGTTTTCTATGTTTGCCCTTCAGTTATAAAAAGGATTTGTGATTCTTTCTGCAGTTGCATTTTATATTCATTGTGAATGAATCATTTCTGGAACCCCAAATAAAAAAGAGCTGCCCCCATCATCCTCAGTAACTTCTTTCCAGATCTCCACAACTTTTGCTTAGGAGCAAGTGACCCAATGGAACTAGTGGAGAAATCATGTTAACTGGTAGCTAATAAATATAAAATCAGTAGAATTTGACAAATTACACGTTTATATCTTCTGACAAATTTTTGTAGCCTTAGAGGGACAGTCTATACCATTAGAATAGTTCTTGTTTATGAACTATTCTAAGGACTTTTTCAACTTCCTACATGTTCCTTCTCACCAAATTTTATAGAACTTGTCAAGCACTGCTGAATTATCATTATCATCAGAAATGGGGAAGGAGGACTGGGATGTGGCTCAGTGGTAGAGTGCTTGCCCTGCATGTGCAAGGCCCCGGGCATGATCCTCATTATCACACACACAATGTGGGGAGAATTACTTATTCTTCTTTTTGATCCTTTTATTATAAAATAGGATTCTCCATCTTTGAATATGAAAAGCAGCTTCTGACTATTTTTTAATACTCTCTGCCATACTTCCCAAGGAAGGAGGAGTGACTTATTGAAGGTTATATTTGGAATAGGAAACTGGGCATGTACAGCTCAGTCTTTCATTTATTTTTTATTCTGTCTGCCATAGGATGACATGACATGCTCTAAAGGCCCCAACTTTTCCCTAGGATCTCTCAATCCATTCAAGGAAATGTGGAGAGGAAAATGGTGGCATTGTTAATTAGATGGTTGAAAGAGAAATCCAAAGAGGCAGTGGTTGCATGGACATCTAGAAAAAAACAGCATATGAAAATATCAAGTGTTCAGGGGCAGCCTTACTTAGCTTCAATATATTCTGTCCACTGGGCCTTTGAGACTGGCTGTTCACAGTAGCCTTAGTCCACAGCTAGACCACTGGAGTAGGTTGCTGGGATATCAGTGGATAATGCTCACCTCACCCACAGTAGCACAATTTGACCCAACCATGATTACATCACCAGGAAAACAGTCTTTTTGTCTCCTAATGCATAATTGCTGGGGAATTGGGTTGCATAGTATGCTTTTGAGGCAGAACTGTGGACCCAGACTTTAGAATTCAGGGGCAGTAAATTCTTCCGCTATGAAGCATTAGTGTGAGGATCTAGCTTTTAATTTCAAATTCTGCATGTAAGAACTTAACATAGGTAGCAATACAGCATCTGTGCCAGATGCTATTTCTTGTTATTTTGTCTGGAAACATATCAAGCTCCTAAAAGAGAACTGAGATGGCCTATTCTCTTGGCTGTATATGAAGACTAATTCCCATAACTATAGACCCTATAGATTCATGAATCATATGTACCATGTATATGGCTTTTGGTTTTGAAGATCCAAGCTGTAGCTCAGCTTAGAGGAATGGCTTTGATTAATGAGCAGTGAAAGTGGAATGGGCACCTATTACTTTGGAAATACAGCTTCCACTTGGACAGAAGTGGAAGGAAAATTGAATTAGATCATCATAGAGCCAAAGGCCAAAAATTTACTAAGGAAAGAGTGTACCTGGAAGTCTTTTCCAAATGAATCAGATTGGCAGATTAGTGCAAAGACTTGAGATTGAGAACAATTTCAGTATGTGTTAGATAAAAGGATCACAGTTCAGGAAATGTTTTTGACTCTGTTACCTGAAGAGGGCTAAATGGAGAAGTACTAAGGAATCCAGGAAGAGAGAAATCAACTTAAAAGGAAATACAAGGTCTTAAAAATCAAACCAGATTTATACAAAAGGGAAATGGATCTAAGTGCAAAGATAGAGCCATAAAAAAAAATCTTGGAGCTGGAAACTTATAAATTTTTTAAAAGTTTGAGCATATGAAATTTGTACTATGATAATTGTGTGTGTCCTAATGAACTCTTGGATTCCTTGGAAAAAAACAGAATATAGGGACTTAAGGATAAAATAATGCATCTTTGAAAATGCCAAGACAAGTCATTTTACTGAAGAGGAAAGCAAAAACAATTAATTGAGTTTGAGTGGAACAAGAAATTAAATTAAAAGGAAAGAAACAAAAATCTTAATTTTTCTTGGAATTTTGCTCAAAAGAATTATGAATTTTAACATTCTGGACTTTGATTTATAAGGAAGTTCAGGGAGGTTTAATATTTTCTATTTAATTTCTGCCCAGACATTTGGCAAGGGAAAGAGATCCACCGCATTGTGTTCACACTTAGCCTTCGGTGAATTCAACTGGGGCCTAATTTGGTATGGAAATTACAATGAGCAGTGATTTTTTTTATTATTATTATTTTAAAATTTTTTTGGATTGAGATGCAACAAAGCTTCCAGGAACAAAAGCTAGACTACATGCTCATGGTCCCAGGAAACTAATGGAACAGTGATATATTGGAGTGCATGTTTGGAAGAAAGACTTATGTTTCTGGATAATAAGAACTTGATTGTTAATACTAAAGGATTAAGAGATCAAAAATCTGTACATAATGGGAAAAAAAACCTTTTTTTTCTAGCATTCTATTTCTCTCACAATGCAGGACTTCATTTGTTAGTACTAGGAAGAGTAATTTCATCCTTCTCTCTTTCTACTTCCTCACTCACTTCTCCCCAAGAGAGAAATTACTCTCAGATTGCTGAAAGGAGAAAGGAACAAAGAAGTACACCCAGTTTAGCCGGTTCCAGGACAAATTACAAGCTGGTCGTTTCTGCTCTGCTGCTCTGTCCAGAGGTAGGAATGCTGGTATCAGGCCTACTTTCTTTTTTGGCGGGGAGGGGAGGTACTGGAGATTAAACTCAGGGCACTCAACCACTAAGCCACATCCCCAGTCCTGGTTTTTTTAGAGACAGGGTCTGACTGAATTGCTTAGCATATTGCTTTTTACTGAGGCTGACTTTGAATTTTCAATCCACCTGCCTCAGCCTCCAGAACCGCTGGGATTATAGGCATGCGCCACTGTGCCTGGCAGGCCTACTTTCTGAAGGTAGATTAGAAACTCTTCTCTTTGTGTACTATCCATAGAACTCAGTGGACAGGAGACAATGATTCTGCACATGTCTGCCTTGGAGACCTATCTCTTCCTTGCATGTACATCCAAAGCTCTTGGGAGAAAAAAATTAAGATGCTCAAATGAAACCATTTATTAAAGCTGAGTTATCCAATTCAAGTTACTATTATTATAAAATCAATGTATGTTTTTAACCTCTATTTGTCTTTTCCTCCCCAAATCCCTATTTAGAATCAGTTAAAGGGTATGAGCAATTATCATTCTCAAATCCTAGAAAATACTAATGGCTGATGTTTTTTGAGTACCCAGTACTGTGTCAGATGCTGTGCTAAGAGCTTTACAGTATTGCTCTGTTTAATCCTCACATCATCTCTATGAGGTGTGCACTGTGGTTTCTCCCACCTCACAGATAAAGGCTTAGGGCCAAGGATATAGCTCAGTTGGTAGAGTGCCTGCCTCGCATGCACAAGGCCCTGGGTTCAATTCCCAGCACCACAAAAAAAGAAAAAGAAAAAAAGACCCTGAGGCTTAAAGAGCACAATTGGCCAAGGTAAGGTCATATACAGCTAGTAAAGGTGCATCTCAAACATGGAAGTATATCCAACTTGTTGACTGTACTCCATCACATAATCATCTCTTAACAACTTTAGGAAAAATTGAGAATAGAGCTTCAGTTTGCTCTTGTTGAATAAATTAGAAAATTATGAAGCATCAATTTGTTTTGAATACTAACTAAAGAATATCTTGTCTCTCAGATCTGTCAAACTGAGCTGCTCTGAAGACTTGATAAAAGTCAAAAGTTAACTTTATAATAAGTTGCTTTAAACATTCAATTTTGTGAGGTTTTTTTCATTCATCATGCTAATTGCATAGCTATTAATTCTTCACATGAATTTTCAGGAATCAGTGTGACTTGATTTGTAAACTGTGACCCTAATTTGGCATCAAACTTATACTACAATGTGAAAGTATTTTTAAAATATTATCTCATGGGTAATTAGTAATGATAGTCCATAGTTCCTAACACAATCTTATTCACAAAAGTGATTAAATATAGCCCTACAGAATTATAATAAAAAATTGTTCTAAGAATTTCATTGGGAATTTGCCTCAATCATTGTATTTTAGGTACTCACATAAGACCTTTTTAATTATGACAGTCTTTAAGATACCCGAAAAACAATCTGGCTTTATAACCATAAATATTAATATAAAATCAATTTAGTTTTAGATTTCCAATTTGATGATAATCCTGACAACTCAATGTTAAAGCTGACAAATATTTCAAATTTTTATACACATAATTTCTTAGAGAAGTAAAACAATAATATACTGTAAGAGCATGTAACTATTATACTCACATGGAAAATATACTTCAAGCTTTAAGCATATTTAAGTAAAAGCTTCTGAAATTCTTATCATTGAAGCTCACCAACTACAACCTTGAATTAATTATACTTTACTTGATATTAGTGTACCATAAAATTTTTTCCTTTGAAAGAAAATGTTCAAATATGTAAATAGAAAAATGGGAAGATATGCCTCTGAGTTTTCCTTCTAGGGGACTTGGTATCATATTTTTACCTCTGAGATGGGTTTCTCATAGACATCTTCTCCTATGGACTTCTCCTGAGCAAGGATGGCATCTCGGTGCAGGATCCGAAGCACTTTCTCTGGTTCTGCAGATCCGTAGTGAGCCTCCAGAACCTCAGGCTTGGTTTTCTCAGTCTTCAACATATGGATCACATCTTCTCTGGCCTGTGGTAGAAAGTACAGCAAGGTCAGATGGTTGACAATGTAAATCATATAACAGGCTCACAAAATCAACATGGAGCTTATTGAATACATACCCATCTCTTCAGGGTTATTGGCAAATTAACTGGGTATTCTGTTCTTTTTTTTTTTTTCCACCAAGAGCAGATTGGCAAGCAGATACTCTGCTTCAGGTTGCTAGGAAGCAGGCAAGCAGAAAGAGGGTTTGTGCTAATATTAACTACATAAAAATTGCTTGATTTAAGTAGCAATGATTTGAGAGAAGGGGCAGGGTTGGGCTGGTTTTGGTATAGATAACTTGTTGCAGTGCAAATGAGGTCAAAGACAAGCTAAAATCTTCTAGGTTTCTATTTATGCTCTAAGTGCAGTATTCAAATCCAGTTTATAGTAAAACCCTGCTCTCTTCATCCCATAACTCCGTGTTAATTAAAGCTAGCTATAACTTCATGTGAAATTAACAAACAGCCTTTATTAGTGATTTCTTTCTGTTCCTCATCAAGTAATTCCTTTTGCCCAGAAGTACATGGTTGAGTATTCACTCCATGCTGGGCTGGGCTTTTTCCATCTAATGCATTCATGCTGAAAGTGAGATATTATTCTTTGAATATCCAGACTACCCACAGATGAGTTGGGTTTGGTAGGGTCATGGTTATTCTTTTGGTTTCTTAGCACAACGTTAAATGAAGCTTTCGAGAAAACCATGTAATTGTAGGTTTTATATGATATTATCTTTGGTCCCTATCCCATAATGCAAATGCATCTGGATATATTTTGTACTGGTTAGCTGTGATGATATTGCTAGTCATGATGTAGCTGACATTTGCTGAATGTACTTCCATCTGGGCCTTGGCTCACTTGGAACTGTTTTTCCAGTAATGATGATGGGTAAGTATCTGACTTCATTCCAACTTGTACTAAAGACCAAACTGAGAGTTTCAGTCTGTGACAATGGAATAGAGTTTTCCCTGTATTAATGCTAACTATGGATTTGAGTCTTTAAAAATGTATCATTATTATGGTTGTCTAAACAAGAGAGCTGACTAGTCAAGTATTTATGATAGGACCAACATAAAGTTGGTCTTTCTTGAAGTTCCTCACTTCTACTGCATTGTCAGTCTCCAAATTAATCTAATTCCAGATGAATTGGAGACATCAATCAACCAGACTATGCAAATTTTCAGTGTCTCAACCACATATATGTATGCTCATTTCAAGACTAAAAAAAAGAAAATATTACTTTTGAAGAACTTAGTGATTGGGAACATTAATGAGAATATTAAGATCAGAAAATAGGTTCCTGAAAAGACAATATGTCTCCATGCAGGGTGAAAGGATATTCATACAGTCACAATGTCAGGCTAACCTGTACAGTGTCTTTATGCAAATTGCTTTAGAAAAATGGTGCCTGCTTCAATGAAGGTATGGTCCTGAATCAGAGTGCAGCTTATGCAGCTCACCTAGTGAGAGAAGAGTGGGCTGAATTCCATCTACTCATCTCCTCTGCCAGGTAACCCTCATGCAAGGCATAATTCTCTATCTGCATGAGGTGGTCCTATTCTGAAGGAGCCTCCAGGCGTATAACTTGTTACTAGTCTTCAGGAGGGAAATGCTCCTACGTTCATCTCACTGGTGAACACATATAGCATCTTCTAAAGTAATGGTTTTCAAAGCTGACCGCATGGGAATCACCTGGAACTTTAAAAAATCCCACAGCCCATGCCATCCCAGACCAATTACATCCCAATCTCTGGGAGAAGGGCTTGTGCATCAGTCCATGTTAAAGCTCCTGGGTGATTGCAGAGTACTGTGCTCACACTACTTTGGTTTGGATTTGGTTTGAGTGTGTCCCCTAGGGGTTTGTGTGCCAGAAGCTTGTTCCCCAGTGTGGTGATATGAAAGATACTGGAACTTTTAGGTGGTGGGGCTTAGTGGAAGGTGAACATCAGGTCATTGGGAACACTCTCGGGTTGATATAATTCTCACAGGACCCTGGATATTCCTTTAGAGCAAGTTGTGCAAAAGAACAAACCTAGCCAGTGAATTCCTCTAGCTTTCTCTCTTAAGATGTGACTACTCTCTCCTCTCACACATGCTTCTGCCATAATGCCATCTGCCATGCTGTGGTGCACAACACAATAGGCCAAGTTATGGTGTTACACAATTGTGGATTTTCAGTCTCCAAAACTATGAGCTATATAAGCCTCTTTTCTTTATAAAGGACGAGCCTCCAGTATTTTGTTAGCAACAGAAAATAATTGAATACACACACTAATAAATTAAGAGACAGAGCAACCAAACTGATTAATAATCCCTGGTACTATTCAATCTAAACTTTGCTAAGTTGGTGTGTGTGCTTTTTCTTTTTCTGTCTTTGGAAAGATATTATCACCTTACTTCTTTCAATCACCTCACACCTGAGGTCAGTCTTAAACTTTAGCCAGAGCGGAAAACTTCATCTGAAAAAAGAAACTGTGAATTTAGTGACTAATGCAGTGAGAAGGAAGAAAAATTTAGAATCATATTTCAAAGTGACAAAATGGTGATGATAAGGTTGGCAAGGTGGAAGTCTCCATAACAAACTATTATTTTTCCTATCTTTAAATCAAATGAAGTAAAGTCTGTCTTCTAAAGTTCACATTTTAACATGTGAAGTGTAAAGACTCAGGGAAGACATTGAATTTACTGGGTTTTTTTTTGGGGGGGGAGTTAAAAATTTTAAAAATAATCTCAGCAACTTGGGAATCTGAGGCAGGAGTATCGTAAATTCAAAGCCAAACTCAGCAACAAGACTCTGACTCAAAATTTAAAAATAAAAAATAAATAAATAAAATTTAAAATGTTTAAACAGTAAAGGAGAATGTATTGTCATTTGTACACTAATTTGAGATATTGATTCAAAATAAAATGCAAATATTTCAAATGGTTTGCTTCCTACTCTCTAAAATGTAGTAGATATGTAAGAAAAGGAAGAGCAGAATAAAAGCAAAATTCAAATTCTTCAGAAAAGAAATCATGATTGAAGGCATAGATTCAATCATATAGTACTTGAATAATTAAACAAACTTTTGAAAGACTGAAAAAAATGGCTTAGAAGACAGACACTAAATGTAGTGGGATGAAGGCTGCATGTAGTCCCTTATCTTTTGCTTATATGTTTGTTCTCAACTTTCCACAATGAATATGTAATTAATTTTATAAAAAGAAACAAAGTTGCACTTTTATAAAGAAAGTCCTCATATTTCTATTTCACACAAGTCCTCATTATTTCTATTTCACACAACAGGGCAAGGGCAAATAATGTAGTAAAAAGTTCCTTTTACACATGCCCAATGCTGAGAAAGCCACCTTCATTCTGGCTATATATAAGCCTACACACAGTGTCCCTGGGATTTAACACAAAGAAAACATAAACCAAATTTCGAAAGATTGTACTATACCATCGTTTTGGCATTGCTCTGATTCCTTTTAGGATTATTTAAACACAGCAGTAAATCCAAGATAGAACAGCCACTAAAGTGGGTGGGGATGCTAACAACGAGGTGGTGTGAGGACTATAGTTGTCCCACTAACATTTATTCTGATTTACTCACATTCCAACTAGACCACTGAAGGAATCATTGAAGAGCTATTTACATATTGCCTTTCCACAAATGACATCCTGAAAAAGTGTTTGTCCCTAATTATGGATAAATGTCAGAAAGTGGCTTTCAAAATGCAAACAGTATTTAATAACCTTGAGAGCTTAGATTGCACCACTGAGTTAACACAAGTTTGCACAACCTGAGCATAAAGAAAATTAATTAAATCATTTTTCTGTATTTTTATTTTTATTTATTTATTTATTTAGGTACTAGGGATTGAACCCAGGGCTCTTTACCTCTAAGCTTTTTATTTTGAGACAGGATCTTGCTAACTTGCTGAGGATGGCCTTGAACTTGCTGAGGATGGCCTTGAACTTGCATCATCCTTCCTTAGCTTCCTGAGTTGCTGGAATTACAGGTGTGAGCCATCATACCCAGCAAGTTAATTAAATGTTAAAACTATTAAGCAAGTTAATTAAATGTTAAAACTATTAAGCTAAACACAAACAAAAACAGAAATAAAATTCGCATGATGGTATAGAAGTTTCCAGTCCTAAAATTGCTTTGACCTAATCTATGAAAAAGGATCATAATAACTTTCTTACATGATTGTTTTAGAATGGCATCAGATATAAATATATTAAATGCATAATAAGCACATGGCACACAGTAGGTGCTAAGTCAATGGTAATGATTTATTATAGTTCTGTTAGGTCCCTATCATTAGATAACTTTTTGCACATGAGGAGAAAAGGAATTTTGTAAGATATATTTTTTCCCTAGTCAAATGTAACATTTAAAACTGGTAGAGTTTAACCATCTACACATTCCACAATTTGCTTTGAAGAACAGTTTTTCAAAAGGGAATTTTTTAATTCAAGCAACCTCTTCCCAAAAGTTATTTCATCTTCCTGACTCAGTTTGTTTGTCTCTAAAGTAGGGACACTAATCCTTCTATGTCATAGGTACTTTGTCAGGTTCTAACAAGAGGATGCAAATAAAGTGCATTTGAATCAGTAAATAGGTAGTGATTTCAGCTTAATAGTTTACTATTCAATTTAAAATGCATAAATATTATTGTTAGTTATCATCTTGACCAAATCTTTCTGATTCTCTTAGAAGATAACTTCTATTCTTCCTACCGATGTGAAACGCCTATTATTTCTCTTCTTAAAAATCCATTTATGTTTGAACCTTATTAATTGCTATAAGATATATATATATATTTCACATTTCATCTTACTTTCATTATCCTAGAAACTAATTACCAAAGCAAAAGAGGCTAAGGTGATGTAATACTGTGTATCATATATTTAAAACCACTCTATTCACCTCTTATTTAGAGCTTTTTTTTTTCTTTTTAAAATTTATTTTATAGTTGTAGTTGGACACAATACCTTTATT